GGGGTGGGGGAGAAGTGCCTTTGTAAGATTTTGTAAGATGTAGTTTCTCTCTCTCAGTATCTTCTTGTTGTAAATAGTTAATAAATTTAATTTATTTGTTCTTCCCAAGTCGTGTTGGTTTCTTGCCCGTGACCCTAAGTGGTGAGTGAAACCCTCCCTGTCCCTGCCTCAGCCCACCAGGTGTTTAACAAAGGACTGTCCCTCTGGCCTTCCTAAACCATGACAAGACTTTTGGTCTTGACATCAGAAACATCCTCAATAAAACAACTAACAGAGTATCTCAGGGCTTAATTTAGGTTTTGGGGCACACTGTCACTCTTTCACTACAGATGTAAAGGAGGTTTTGCCATGAGAACTCAGAACAGGTTAGTCTCTTTAATGCAATGATCATGAGGAAGTCTGTCTTAAAATTAAGCTAATGAACAATGCATTCTGACTAACAGCAGTCTCTAAACTACAAGACAAAGCACAAATCAGGTTAGATCCATCTCATATATGAAGTGTGAAGACAGCTTTCAAGGTAACCCTTGGCACTGCAAGATGAAAGACAAAACTGGATCAAAAAAGAATCTCCTGGCACTGCTGAAAGATGGACTTTCAAAGCAAATCAAACTTCTGAGACATACATTCAAAAGCAGTCTTTCATCCCAAAATGTAACTTAGATCTGTGTTGGTCTATGCTGGAGTGCCCACAGAAGGAAGTCTGCAGAGTTGGGGGATGTAAGACGTTCTAGGAGAAGCTTCCCACTCTGCTGGAAAGCTCCCCCAATGCATCAAGCACTGCTCAATCTCTTCAGCACTCTGCTCTAACATTCAAGCCAACAGTGCAACACTGCACGGGGGTTGTAGTGTCTCAGCATGGTTCCCATCTGGTACATCTATGAGTCCAGAGAACACGCAGCAAGCTGGACACATTTAAAAAAAATATCCAGACACATCTTGCGGTCAAGCAGGAGTTACAAGAATCTACTGTAGGCTCATCTGACTCTGCCCACCACCCTCCAAACAAGGTGAAGAAATATGAGAAGGAGTCTGGAAACTACTGCAATAATGTGTTCAGAAAGGACGCTGACTCCAGAGAGGTCTGAAGCCCACCATTGGGTATTACTGTCTTCTGGTTAATCCATTACTATGGGATGCCACTGCACACATCACAATACCAATATATGAAGGACTTCAGTAGCAACTGACTGTGATTGCTACTGTGATGTCTAGTGAGGTAGAAACTTGTGTTTTCATGCTGAGGAGCAGTTTTCATGACTCTGGCACCTGACCCAACCTCCAAATCATCACCACTGGAAAGGACTGTTGTTTTTATGGGAACATACTGGGCAGCACTGCTTCAGTTTTGGGTGTTTTTGTGTCCAAATTTATTCTAGCAACACGGAAATTCTTCTTTGCAGAAGATAGAAGCTGTTACTCTCCATAGTGCCATGCAGGAAACACTGTTTTGTTTCAAACCTAAGCTTTGAAAGAAGTTTCTTTGTGAAAAGACAGCATGTTCCCTACGCAGCCCCTATACTATGTCTCAGACTGCCTCCTTTCAGGATATTCTTGAGGAACTGAGAATGTGGCATCTGGATTCAGAGCAAATAAATTCGGTGCCATCATTTCTACACTAGCCTTAGCTACCAAGTGCATGTTTAGACTACTAGATCATGTGTCTTTGGTAGCAGGCTGTAATGCCTATCCCTTCCCTCCCACTCCTCAGAAATAAGGGAATCATGATTAAACCAGTGTATGAATCATCCCACAATTTACCCACGATCAGAAGAACGGGCATCAGCATGTTTATTAGAAGAGTTACCCATCATTATCTTCTATCACAGGACAGATGATGAAATCTCCTGTCAAAGCAAGGCATTAGAAGCTTTCTTTGCAGACAGAGCAAAAGAAGCCAAACTTTTTTTTTATATATATTAATATATTTTCATATATATAAACACACACACGACTCCTTTCTATTACAAGCATGAAAGAACAAATAATCGCCCAAGATGAGCTTCAAAGAATTATGGCATAAAAGCTCTCTTCCACTGCATTGGCTTGCAAGGTTTTATTACATACCACACAAAAACAAAAGCTCCTTCTAAAATATCTTGAGTGCTCCTAAATCCCTTACTGCAGAGCATTTATTGATCACTAGGCAGCTACTGAATGCCAATATTACTACGAGACACTTCAAAAGAATCCTTCTTAAGAAACCCCAAAACGTTCCCAGTTGATTTTACAAGCCACTGCTTGGGGTAATAAGTTCACAGACATTCGCAGATCTGCAGGTCTGAACAACCAGGGACAGAATTCTTAACTAGTGTAACAAAGTACACACAGTGATTATCCTTCCACTGTCACAAACCACCCCAGGATTAAACTCAGGGGCTGATTAATAGCACAGAGTGACCTCTGGGTTTGGAACCCGTAGCAACGCTTGTGTCCCCAGCTGGAGCTGCAGCTGGTACCTTGCCAGGCAGACTGGACCTCACCAGAGGTCCTCAGCCCCAGCCACACCAACATGACTGCTCTCACAATAAATTTAGCTTGCAGGAGCCTGTGAGATTTGAAACAGCAGAAACCAATCAGTTACACAATTACAAGTCTCTCTGTTAAACAAGACTGTTCTCTCTCCTTAGGTCTATTTCCTCACAAAGACATACCACTCCTCTGCTAAACCCCAAAGGATTTTTCCTCACAGTTTTGCAATCGCCACGAGGGGTCAGGATTTTACATTACTCCTAATCTGTAAAACTGGTACCTTAAAACACATTACAGCTTTCAGCTCCTGCATATGGAATCCAAGTGAAGACCACCAGCACATCTGTGTCTCACCACCACCTTCCCCATATCTACAGACCTTCAGAAGCTTGCCACCTACAAAACACACTGAAATGCAGCAGGCAATATGTGATACTGCTGCAGTCCTAGGAGTTACAGATGCAGTGTCTGGCTCTGTGCAGGGTGACGGTCTTTTTCTGTCACGAGAAGGTTACAAGGTGGTACTGAAAAGTTTTGTGGAATAACAAAATGAGATGAATGCTGCGATGCTTACAAAACTTACTTTTTTGGATGAAAGCAAGAGAGTTTGTACAGGCTCAGAGTTTGGAAAAAGCTGTGTTTCTTCAATAATATGCATTCCATTTTCATAGCTGATAGCTTTGTGCACGGCTCCTCGATCTGAAACAACAAAGCAATACACTTAAGTAAGATCCTTAAAATAAAAATGCAGGGAAAAATTGCACAATTGCTATTAGTTGTCTCAATAATCTGCTCGCTCTTCAGTTGAAGACCTGACACAACTTTGTGCCAATAGCAACCATTAAGCCTGCCATCATAAGGAGCTCTGAACAAGAAATAACATTTTGGGACAAAGAATGGCTACTTAGGGATTATCTTTTATGTCTGTTTGTGCTGCATTCTTTGTGGTTCTGAAAAAGTATTGCAAGGAAAATAACTGCAAAGCATGTAAGATTCTGCACTTACTCACCATGGGCCCCCTGCTTTATAATGAAAACACCAGCTGTTGTAAAAGCACTAAATATGGAAATCTCAAGAGTTTCTCTTTGACTATACTTCAGTATAAAGAATCCGTGCATCACTAAAAAAAAGTGTTTTGCAGAACTCACCTGTACTGATGAACATAACATCGTATATGGTGCCATTAAGTGCTCTCACTCTGTCTACCACAATCTGGGTATACTTCACATCTCGTTTTACCAGTCGAGGTCTGTCTCCTATTGGAGTCACTGAGTCATCCATTAAAGGATGATCTTTAACAAACTGCAATGTTTTATCTGGCAAATTCAGAGAACTCATGTAGTTTGATGCTCTGGCTTCATTGTTTATACACTAGACGGGGGAACAAACCGAAAAGAGAGACAACGAAATTATATCATTTACTTGTACAAAATAGAGAGAATTAACAGCAACTACATGCATTTTCTTCTCTGCATTATTTTGGCCAGTAAGCACAACTTTATATTATACTAATTCCATCAAGGAAGGTCCTCAGGTCTTGTAGCACTTTGGCTTCTGTGATGTACTAATCCCTGACCTTCGGACTTCATTTTTGTTTGGGCCCAAAATACATTTTAGGAGAATATTCTTTATGAACTCTCATGCTTCTTAACTACTTTTAACTGTCACCTCATGCAGCAGTAGCAACAAGAAGACTGCAGGGAACATAAGAAAGTAAGAAAAGTGTGAAAGAGATCCAGCGCTATGAACATTTTAGCTTGCAGAGCAATGCACTGCATTGGATAAACCTGCTGAA